GTGTGTTTACATCCATCCCCTTATAGTTGAGACATTTATTTCTTTTATTAGTTCCTTATAGTTGAGACATTTCGTCTAGCAGCATTAAATTGTTCAAAAACATCAGGAAAATTTATGTTTAGTCTACTTCATGATTCAAGCTGTAATAAGGAATGCTACAGAGAGGACTAGAAAAGAAAGTCTATCATCCAGTCCCTTTCTCGACTTCCCTTCAAACGAACATTTTGTTTTTATCTCTAGGGAAGCACTTCCTACTAATCCAATTGATTATCTGTCGACAGACTAAGCACAGATTCAACGAGCAACTTCATTAGCTTTTCAGAATATAGTTTTAAAATGGGAAGAGTATATATATTCTAAAAAGCAAATGGAGTCTCTCATTGGATCTATGATTAGTTAGTCAAGGAACATGAGTTTAGGTTCTCTGTTTCACACATTGTGACTTTATCAGCTTTTTCAGAATATATAGTATTATGTTCCATTTTTTCAGGAATGCTTGATAAAGCAGTATGTCACAAGATTACGGGACCTGGAATGGGGAAATATAATAGCATCAATCAAAAGTAAATCAATTAGCAGAAGAAAACACACCATAAATGGATACCAATTTGGGACGAAAAGAAGACATTTAAAACCATTACCTATTTCTGACCACAAACCTTTTAAGCTGGCGTTTTTTAATCGCCATTTGGACACCAAAGTGACAACTAAAAATAGAAAGAGAAACTGACCATAGACATCCATCCCATTGGTAGCTCTCTCTAGATTACAAATTTGTTAAATCGTACTTCCAAATTATCATATCTCAAAAACTATGAATACCATGCTCAGGTCTCCCTCCTAATTCATTTTTTTCCCTTGTCAATCTATGACAATCAATTAACTTGCCTCAATCTCAAACTAGTTAGTATATAAATCCTCTTTCACTTTCTGCTCTGGTAGGGGCGCCTTCATTCAAATGCTAAGCTTAGACGTTTTCAGTAAATTAGGATTCTTTAAAACTAAAAGTTCCCTAAATCTCATGTTGTATAAGTCTCTATTTATCCTAACTATACTAAAAAGACCAGATCAATTACCAGACCTCACACAAGTGTAACAACAACTATGTTTAAATCCCAATCACTGGGCAGATATCTCTATTCTTCCATATGGATCCTTCACTTCCATTGGTGTTAGGTTATTAGCTAAGGAATTACAACCAAATTATATACAGCAGACTGATCACATACTTTAACAACCACAACAGCATAACCAATATAATCCCACAAAGTAGGATATAGGGAGGGTAGAGTGTAGACCTTAACCCTACCTCGGCTTAAGGAAAAACAGTCTAAAGCAGTTCCAAAAAAGAAGTACATACGTACAAAAAACAACCAATAATAATACAAACAACATATAATAACAGAACGGGAACTAGAATAAATATCATAATCAAGGTACAAGAAACAATATATAGTAACAGAAATCAAAGGACAAGAAACTACATGAACAATACTACGACTACTAATATAAACGGAAAGATCACATACTTCAATGACATCAATTAACTAACTAAATACTTCATAACTTATAGAGATTCAACCTCAAAAAGACTCACTAGGTGGAAGAAGAAGCAAAGGAGAAGGCAAAGTCTCTTCAACATGAACAGACACCTTAGTAGTATAACCAGTAAAACCCGAAAACCAACGTGGATTATAAAGCTCCCAAACAGCAATAAGCTGAACCAAACATGTCCATATCAAAATGCTGGAACAAACCCTTACAAAATAAACTTTTAATCTAGTCCTCTGTATCATCTGCCCTTGTAATGGTAGTACTTTCTCACTTCTAACATGTACCTCACTCTCGGATCTAACCTCCATTTTACCTCCTCTTCACTCTTCATAGCCAATACTTCAACCCCAAATCACCAAACCCCCCAAATCTCTTCATACACAAATTCCTCATATGTACATGCATGTTAAGGTAATACCCAATTGCATCAAAACTCAAACCACATTAGAAAATGAGAAATTGTCACCCCAGATTAACTAAAAATTCAAACTTTTCAACACCCAATATGGAAAAAGATCTCAACTTTGGAACAAAACCAAGAAATGAGGGAAAATGGAAAATTATAACCCCAGATTGACAAAAAATTCAACACCCAAAATGAAAAAAACTGAACTTTTCAACACCCAATATGGAAAAAAATCTCAACTTTGAGCAAAACCAAAAAATGGGAAATCTATGATGAAGTAAAAGATGAGAAGCGGTGAGGAAATTAATTATTTTTTTCTAGGGGTGTCAAGAATGTAGCACAAGGAGAAAACTATAGTGGGGACAGACAATAGTCAATATGCTGTAAATCTAAAAAAAAAAAAAACATGCTTTTCATGAATTTTCTGAAAACTTTTTTCTCTGTAAAAAGATAAAAACTTGTACAGTATGTTGAAGTAGCAGGATCTAAGGAAGAAAATGACAGAGATGGAAGAGATCTAAGATTATCATAAAAGAAAAAAAAAAGATTAAATTTTAAACTTGGAATTTTGTACCCAAAAATGTACTTTTTACGTAATAGTATTAAACAAATAGTCCAAATCAACACACTCAAAATATGGTAATGGAAAATTAATTACTCTTAAGTCATATAACGTAAATTTTTAAATATAAAAAATTTAAAAGAGACTTTTTGGTATTCTAAATTAGGAAAAATAGTATGAAGTAATAATTTATTAATCTAAATTATTGTCATAGTTTATTTTATTTGTAATTCTTGATATACATCTTTTTTTTTTTGTCATCTGATTTGGTATATAATTAGCAATTTTTGATATACGATTACTCATTCGATACATAAATATGTAAAATGTGTTTCTCTTTTTATAAAGTGAGAGAAAAGTGTATATACAATACAAATACACATGTTTTCGTCTTATGTATTTATAATTATACAAATACAGATCGTATTATATAAATTAGAATGTAGAAATAAATTTATACGAAAGTAGACAATTTGTATTTAAATAGATATATCTAGCAAATTATACAAATAAAAAATTTCATAACAAACATAAAATTTGTTACAGAGCACAATTATACAAACTATAATTGTACTTTGCTAGATGGAAAGTCGCTCATTAAATTAACCCTCAGTCTGTCAATAAATCAAAATTATTTATATTGAATTAATTTAGAATATGATAAAATTGTTTTTAAGTTTATAAATCATAGTAAAGTGGCATAAAGGGGCTTGAACTTGTGACTAAACTAATCGTGTGTTGTAAAGTCTCTCTTCTCACAAATTAAATTATAATTATTACTACTATTTATATAAAGAATATTCTCTTAGAGCCATAATACGTCACATAGTGCGTGATATAGAGTATATAATTATAAGATTTTAGAATAACACGTGAGAGGTTAATTATCTTATAATTACAGAATAACTGTAGTAACAAAAAAAATAAAAAAAAATAAAAACATGTAATTTGACGTACAATTTCTTTATAAGATGAATAAGTTAATACTGTAATTAAACTAATTGATTGTTTATTTATTTATTATTTTAAAAAAAATTTACTCAATTAATTTTCAAGATACTCTTATTATATAAATATCATGATAAAATTCTTATATTAATTAAATTATTTAATAACGATTACTCTCATAAGGAAATGACTGATGCATTCCTTTTTAATATTATTTGGTTTTAATAAATTAAGGTATATCTTCAACAGTAAGAATCTTATGATAAGCTCAAAAAAATTAAAAGTATTTATTAAGGCCAAATAAACATAGAGAGGTATTTTACTTTGATAATTCTATTTATAGGTCTTATTAATTATATGAATCATTAATATAACACTTTTTTAAGAGTTCCAAAATTACTCAAAAAGAAATGCAATGGTAATTTCAACATTTTCAATCCAATCATCATCGCTTTTTGCAAATTTAAAGGTCTTTCCTTTTCTATATATCCCTTCCACCACCACCTTTTAAAATATTAAAGAAAAATAATTCATTTAAAGGGAAAATCTGGATTTAATAATTTTATTTCAGGAAAAGAAAATGATAAAAGTATAATTAAGAAAGAACCGAGGCACCAACATTTAGCAGTCTGCACTATTCGAATCAAATCGAATAATCAAATCAAATTAAATTAAATTTTTATTTAATTTTTAATTTGCTTTTAGATTTTAAAAAAGAAAAATCGAAAAAAAAATGAATTATCTCTCTCTATATGTATAGGTTCATAATTAAGTTAGAGTTAACCACTTTTGTCTCTTTTTAGTTATTGTCTTTCACGATGATTACTTTTAAATTTTATGTTTGAACATCTATAATAAATATGCTTATAAGTATTGTATTTTAATTTTTTCTTATGATTTATATTATAATATATATTTAAGGGATTCAATATTATTACTTTGGTTATGTTATTAATTATTGACTTAACCGAATAATCAAACCAAAAAAAATTGAACCAAAGAGAGGAAAATCAATCAAAACTCAATTTATTTTGATCGATCGAATTGGTTACACTTAGCGCAATACCAAACCGAAAACTCAAATGCACTGATGGGAGTGTTTCACCTTTAACTAGAAGTCTCAAGTTTGAGCCCTGAAATATGAAAAAAAATCCTGATGAAATCACCACTCAGAATATAGGCTTCGGACACCGAGCAGCAAAAAAAAAAAAAAAAAGGGGGGGGGGGGGATAAAATTCAAAATTAGAAAAGGAAGGTTCCTTTGAAGTCAAGATAGTTTTTTTGGGTAAATTCATAAATAGGCCAACCACAAAAAGAGAGCCAATCATGTTTATTTATTACTCTCTTGGTCCACGAAATAAAAATAATTTAATAGCCAATATTATATTCATTAAGAATTACCAAATTATTCTTATTTAATAAAGGTAAAATTTGAATTCTTTATTATTACTATAAGCTTAAACTTTATATTCAATTGAATAAAAAGAGAAGCAAATAAAATAAATTTGTATAGTTGGAGAGCAAAATTTGTATGGTTTCTCTACAGCCTACAACCCTCAAGAAAATAAAACTTATTTATTTATATATATTTACTATTATAATAATCATAATAATAATAATAATAAAATCTTCATCCTTCTCCATCTGAATCTCTTCTCCAAACCAACATTCTATCAGTGAAAAATATAGCAATAATTTATTTGAATTTAGTGACAGAAAGGATGATTCAAAGAAGGAACATCCAATGGGTAGTTGTAATTTTGGGGTTTATTGCTAGTCAAGTGGAATCCCTTCGATTTGATCTGCAATCTGGTCTCACTAAATGCATAGCTGAAGATATTAAGAGCCATGCCATGACTGTAGGCAAGTACCAAATTGTGAACCCTAATGAAGGTTATCCTTTGCCTGATACTCACAAAGTCACTGTCAGGGTAATTTTCTTGTTATTTTTTGTTTATTTTGATGTTTAAGCAAATGGGGTTTCTTTATTTGATCTGTTTATGTTAAAGTTTGAGTTTTTATTGGTCGATCTATGAGAAATCAAGAATGGTTTGTGTGTGTGTTGGATGTTTTTGGTTTGATATGTGAATTTTATGCTGGAGTTGTAAAGCATCAATTATTGAACATGCAAGGAAAATATGCCATTTGAAATTGATCTGTGTAATTTAGGTGACATCTACATATGGAAATACCTATCATCAAGGGGACAATGTTGTTGAAGGGCATTTTGCTTTTGAGGCAGCGGAAGCTGGGGATTACATGACTTGCTTCTTTGCTGCTGATCACAAGCCCCCTGTAACTCTTTCTCTCGATTTTGACTGGAGGACTGGTGTAGCTGCTAAGGATTGGACGAGTGTTGCCAAGAAAGGCTCTGTTGAAGTAAGTCCACTTTTATCTTCTATCTACCTGCTAATGTATCTATACTTGACGTATACTTGTGTTAGATATGCATTTGCGTGGATGATATGACAGTTTGCGCTCATATAGAATGTAGCTCACAAGAATCCCTTGTGCACGATAAATTTGCACTTGAGGAGTCTCATAGACTACATCTTTAGTTCGAAAGAAACAGGAAAATTATGGATGTTCTTTAGTTTAAAGGTTTTCAATTTTTGATAGGGAATTTTAATCTAGCTGATTCCAACTAATTTTGAAATAAGAGTAGTTGTTATATACCATTCTTTCTCAAAAAAAAAAAAAAGAAGAAGAAATGGAAAGTAGTTATATAACAGAATTTGGGAACGCCTTATGAAGTGACACTCTTTAGTACCTTTTCTTAAGAATATTTTCTTGCTTATCAAAACAATTTGTTTTTTGGCTGAGTAAAAAATTACAAGCAACTTACTAATCATCTTGAGAGCATTGGACTGTGTTTGCTTGGTGATGATTGCCTCCATCATCTCGCCTGTAATGCATACATACGCACTCCTTGCGGCCCTCATCTGCATTAGGCAGCCCTGCGATCACACTCATGAGTTCATCGATCTCCTCTGAGGCATAAGATTAACTTGGCTCGTGCATAGGTCTCATAGCTTCTGCGTTATCCTGAGGTCTCTGAGCCCCTCTCACCCCATTCACGCCCTTAAACTTGGAGACTGGAGTCTCTACTTGATGGAACTACTAGATGATAATGAACTTTTTTTAAATAGTAGGGAATACCAAAATATGAGGATGAATTTATTATTCAACATTTTAAATCAATATCTTAAATTCCTATGCATTTATTTGCACATATAATGAGATTCATGTTTCTCTGTGCATGTCAGCTTGAACTTTAGTGTTTATTACTTCTGCTGGAGAAGCTGCTACAGCTATTAATGTTATAAGGCATTACCTACTGGTTTCACTTTTGTACTTTCCTCCTCTTGAAAAGAAGCAAATACAGATAAAGAATGGAAGAAAGAATAGCTAAAAACCAACCCTACGAAGTAACTCGGATTTGGTAGATATTATTTCCAGATTCTTGTTACTGTCAGCAAAACAATAAAAAGCCTCCAAGCCCATTAGCCTATTAGCAATTATAAATTTAGTTGCTGTCATTCTGTCATTAAAAGAGGTACTGATATAAAACCATGTCACTAGAATTCTAGTGCATTGCTACTTATTGAAAGAAGAAAGGAATTTCAATATCTGACAACCTATGGCTCAATCCTCAAATGAGATAGATGTAATGATGCATGCTCGTGAAGTGTTATTGATATGTTCTTGGAAAACAACAAAGGTTATAATCTTAAGATTTACATTAAAATTTTCTGCATTCTGTTCTTAGTTAGGACTACTTTTCTTTGTTTTGAACAATAGTCTAGAGTCTTTTATTTAAATCAAAACTTAGAGTAGTAGAAAAACTATTGTTGCCAGAAGTGTGCACCTGTATTTCAAAAACTTTTAGTTATGTCAACTTTGTGCCCGGACGAAGGGGCTTCTGAAGAGATGAAATTGACCATGAACTTGTTGACTGCACCTTGTGGAGTTCTGAGTTGTGACTAACATAAACTCTTGTCATCTTAATAGATAATGGAATTTGAACTAAAGAAGATACTTGAAAATGTTAAAGCCATCCATGATGAGATGTTTTTCCTCCGTGAAAGGTGAGTTTATCTTTTCTTTTAATAAATATTTTAAGTTCCAATCTTCAAAAATGTTGTCGATGCATGTCAATTCATCCCTGGTTAGTACTCCCTCCGATTCAATTTGTTTGTCCTATTTTGACTTGGCACAGAGTTAAGGAAGAAAAGAAGGCTTTTGAATCCTAATGGTCATATGACTTAAAGATATATCAATTGCACTAAAATGTCATTTAATCTTGTGTGCTTAAACATGTCAGTTGGAAAGTTGGAAATACATAGATGCCAAAAGGGAAAGAGAATTCATTTTGAAACAAACTTAAAGGAAAGTAACGCGAACAAATTGAAACAGAGAGAGTACTATTTTGAGGATCAAACACAAGTGGTGCAAGATTTTTGGAGAGTCCAAGCTACATAGTTAATAAATGTTGCTTGATATTTTTTCGGCACGGTGCAGGGAAGCTGAAATGCAGGAACTGAACAGATCTACCAACTCCAAAATGGCTTGGATGACTGGCTTGTCAATCTTCTTGTGTTTAGGTGTGGCAGGATTGCAGTTGTGGCATTTGAAGACCTTCTTTGAAAAGAAAAAGCTTATCTAATGTTGTTTCTGATAGCTTAATAATGCAACATGTATGTGTAGAATTTTCCATAGATTACAGCTGAAGAGGGAAGGCAATGTTTTTGAGTTAATTGTGATAGAGAGAACTTGGATCTTTTTAGTTAATTACTTTTATATGACACATTCTCCTATTTAGCTTTCTCCATTTTATTTGCAGTTTACTTGTCAAACTTTTCATTTTACCTTGATATCAGAATTTTATAGCCACAAAAATATCATTGCATTTAATTACAAAGTTCCAAGTGTAATTCCATAAGTGTGATTTGTGGAGAGTAGAACTTAAGTAAATAAACCTTAACCGAGAATTGTTTCCAATAGCCCCATCTTCCTACAATGCATCGACAGAAAAAGTAAATATATTTCAACCTTTCCACTAGTGGTGAACTGACAAATCTAATAGTAGTTGGACTGGGACAAATGCATGCTTAGCAAAAGAAGAAACAGAGCAACTGTCACAGCAAACAATTTATGAAATAACTCCCTAAAGAAGAAGAATAACAAGTAGGTTGGTAATTGATACTTGTCATTATAAATAACTTAAAAACATTTTTCTTCTTTCATTTACACTTTTTTTTGCAAAAAAAGAAAAGCACCCCAACCCCTATCAATCATCATTTTCATAATTTAATTTGCAAAACTTTCTGCATTTTAGCTCCAACATTGTTTTTCTTTCATTTAACTTCATATTTGGAAGAGCTAATAATTTCAGTCTCCATTGGAAACGAACACATCCTGGTAACTGAAAATGGATCATTCCTTTTCCTCCACTCCACTTCAGACTCCATCGGCAAATACGTCTTCACTATTGAATACAGATCATTCCTTTGCCTTCACTCAATTTCAGTCTCCAACGGCAACGAATACCTCCTGGTAACAGAAAATGGATCAATCCTTTGCCTCCAGTACTCCATTTCAGTCTTCATCCGAAGTGAACAGGTTTTGGTAACAAAAAATGGATCAATCCTTTGCCTCCACTCAACTTCAGTCTCCATCAGCAACAAAGACCTCTTCATAATAGAAAACCGATCATTTCTTTGCCTCCACTCAGCCTCTATCTCCATGGCAGCGTAGTAGGCTTGATGACTGAATACTGAAAATCATTCACATTTCTATTACTCTTATTATAACCAAAATGCTCACCATTAGCCATTGACGAAGAATGGTTCAGTAACTTCGATTTTTTCGAAAAGCTAACTTTAAGGCTGAATGGTTTTGGAGCTTCTTAAAAAAAAACCCGAAGAAACTGAACCATTCGTCAATTGCTAATGTTGAGCATTCTGGTTATAATAGAAGTAATAGAAATGTGAAGGATTTTCAATTTTCAGTCATCAAGCCTGCTTCGCTGCCCATGGAGATTGAGACTGAGTGGAGTTAATAGAATAATCCATTTTCTATTATGAAGACCTCTTCGTTGCCGATGTAGACTGAAGTTGAGGGGAGACAAAGGAATGATCCATATTCTGTTACCAGGACGTCTTCGCTACCGATGGAGATTGAAATGGAGTACTGGAGGCAAAGGAATGATCCATTTTCTGTTACGAGGACGTCTTCGTTGCCAATGGAGACTGAAATTGAGTGGAGGCAAATGAATGATCAGTATTCAATTATGAAGACATATTCATTGCCGATGGAGTCTAAAGTGGATTGGAGAAAAATGAATGATCTACATTGGTCCCGAACCTGTCACTTCCTAATGCACACTTCCAAATCTATTTGATTAGCTCATAGGCTGAATTGGTCCTTTAGGTGGGATTGATCCATGTACCCCTTCTCCCATGGATAGTGTTAACTCAATCGTCCTTGCTCTTTTTATTGGTGTTCCCTATACTCCCATTCTCTTTTTGGTGGAGTTTTGTCTTACCTCCAATTAACTTTTGGCCTCTATTCCGGAGGTTGGGCTTCATTTCGTAAGTATAATGTCACGGACTTAGAGTCTTACAATTGATCCGTGTGACACTTGACAACTTTGCTAAGAGAATGAAAAGGAAAGACTTAGAAAGATCAAATGAGAGAACTTTGAAGAAGGCTTGTGGATTGCTTTTGGAGAATGCTTTACAACTTTGTTTGGTGCCTTTGCAAATGAGGGACACCCTATTTATACTACCACCTAAGGACTAAAGTGCAATTAATATTTCTTTACAAGTCCCTAAGATATTTATACGTTGGTCCCTTTCTAGAGAATTCTACATTATCTTAGGACATCACCTAACCTTCTTGAGAATTCTAAAAGGTTCTAGAGTCCTCCGCATGCTTCTTCACAACTCTAGAATGTTCTACCCCTATCTAGATGTAGAATCTGACTGGAAAAGTGGCGGGACATCACAATAAGCTATATAAAGAGAGTCATTCTATGACTATGAAGAGTAAGTGAAAAAGGAAGTTCATTGACTCGATTCTCTATTCAATCCCACAATCAACTCCACAATTAAATATCTTATAAGGCTCCAAAAAGAAAGGCAAGCAGTAGGTTTGGTTCATGAAGTTCTACTATTGCAAGTCCCAATCATAGTCAAAAGTAGAAAAAAGAGGATTTGTAAGAAAAAATCGAATAGACTGACCTACGAACATAAGAAAGAAGAGAAAATTGAATTATGTATGATAAGCTAGAGTCGAGTAACAAAATGAGCTCATCATAGCACCTTTAGAGTGATTTCACAATTATGATGAGCTTTCTTCTCCATCTCCTATTTTCAAGATCGAATTCCAGTTTTTTCTGATGTAGTGGAATCGCCCTACAATTTGAAGTTTTACGCTTCAAGCAAGAAATGCTGATGGTAGATGCAGGACTTGCAGCCTCCATAATTTGTATGCAAGATGAGCCTACATGGGTGCCAATCAACCGAGCCACCGGGTTTGAGATAGGGTGGGATTGCTGGATCTAGTAGCCGGTGAATCACTGATCAAAAAGTAGATTTTGGAGAGATTCTTCATCGATCTAGTGGCCGGTGAATCACTGATAAAAGAACGAGCAACCACCAGGTTTAATGATTTGGTGGGATCCACAAATGTAGTGGTTGGGTGCCGCTTCTTTTTCTTCCGCGAAGATTCAGACAAAACTGAATTTGGATGAAACTAAACAAGATTGAGCGGAGAATACAAAGATCAAAGTCTTTATTATTATATTAGCATAAGTAGTCAACATTTTCAATTTGGGTTTTGCCATAAATTCAAACATAATAAATAAAACCAAACAAAGATAGTTAGGATATATAGGAGTCTATATCCAATAGGCATCAGAGTAAGTCTCCAATAAACAAAGAAAAAGAAAGGGGCTTCGGGTCAAATCCATATTTTTGTGCCCTTTACTTATAGAGTTGTGAATATGGTCTAGGCCCGTTGGATCGGCCTGGCCTAACCCGGGATTTAATAGGGTTGGGCTTAGATTTTGGAGTTCATTTAAGAAAAGAGTTTTTTAGCCCGACACGAATAAGCTTGCTGATTTGTGGGGCTTGATGAATATCGGTAGGCCGGCCCAGGAGCCAATAAAAATTAATTAAAAAATATAATATAATATTAAAATTTAAAATTAAAGAGAGTCCAAACTCAAAACAATTAGGTTAATATTTCTATTTAAATATTTATACATTTACTTGTAAAAAAACTTAATAAATATTATAAAAATAATTTTATTTGTGGATTTGATTGACAAGTAGTAACATTATCATCATGTAATATTGCTTGTCGATATTTATGATAATATTTTGAAATTATAATTTATAATTTAATTTAATAATTATAAAAAAATATAATTTTTAAAAAAGTGGTTTGACCCGACAAGTCTGTATCCCACGTACTTGTGGGTTGGACCGGCCATTTTTTGGCCCATACAAAAAGTAGGCTAACTCCGCCTGACCTGTAAAATGTCAAAGCCTGTATGGGTTAGCCCGGATGGGGTGGGCTAGCCCATATTGACTACTCTATTTACTTACTTCAAGGGATGGTGCGTCCGATACATGATTGGTTAATGACCAATTATATAGTTTTACAATTTCATCAACTAAAATAGTTATCAAACTAATTGTAATTACAATTAAAATGATCGAAAAAAGAAATGTGAGTTGATATATGCTCTAAGGTTGAAAATATCATAAAAAATCATTAAAAAGAAGAGTTACTTATTTACATAATTTTAAAATGAAAATCGGGAATTGAATTCATTATAAGAGCTATTTATCCTTTTTAGAAGATGATATGCCACCACTCAGACTCGAACCGAGATGCATTAACACTGGTTCTACCAATTTCACTAGCGACTTGTCTTGAACTCATAATAGCATATGAATGAGCATTCATCAAGATTGAATAACCTATTTTAGTTTACTAATGATTCAAATGGATCAATAACAATAAAGAGTTGTTCAAAATAGGAATTTAAGGTTGAAGGTTCATTTTTTTTTGTTTGAGTTTAGAGTCTTAATTTTTTATTTAACCTGAGACTTTTCTATATTTTATGTTTTCCTCGAATTCAACTCTTGTAACTAAATCGTTCTATACTTAATAAGGAATAGAGTTCAAAATTTTTTTGTTTTCATTGTTTAAGTAGCAATTTTTTCTTCATAAATTTAAAATAAAACAATAAAGGGATTTTGATGACAAAATAGAAAGAAAAGAACAAATTTTACACGCTAAAAATTCACAATTAGCCATACAAAATTTCACTAAGAAATTTTCTCTATAGGGTTAAGGAAAAGATATACATGGAGTCTATATAATAATTCAGAGAAAATTAAAAGTGAGAAAGATCGAGAAAACAAAAAGATTTTAAAATAGAATCAATTACTTTCAATGAGTTCTTAACTTTCACTAAAGCTTTTTATATACGTTCTTCTTCAGATATGCAAATATAGAATTTTATTTGCATTTTGTTTTGCAAATAGGTCGATGAGGAAAATAAAACTCCCCACCTTGGAATAGAAATGATCTTTATTCTTTTGTCAACAATAAAATTATTATTCAATGAATAGTAAATAGAGGATTTCCTAATACTAGCGAATAAAGTTCCGTTACATATGGATTGATGAGCTAATCAGTTTCAAACAAGAAAGGGAAATAGTTCAATTATTCAATTAGATAATAATTGAATAATTGAATTATTTTTTCAAGTTGATTCAAATTATTCTAATGTCTTAATATAACTTATCTATTTTGTTTGGCGT